AGGTTGCCCAGAGAGGGGGTGGAGGCCCCATCCCTGGGAACATTCCAGGCCAGGTTGGACGGGGCTGTGAGCAACCTGATGTGGTTCAAGGTGTCCCTGCTCCTGCAGGGGGGTTGGGCTGGGTGACCTCTAGGGGTCCCTTCCCACCCAAAACATTCTATGATTTAACGAAGAACCCTCCCCGTAATTAAGACCACATCCCAGGGAAGCGCCACTGCCCCGTGGCGGGCTCCTGCATTTGCAAAGAGGCAGAAGTGCAGCCACCGAGCAGCGCTTTATGCTTGCACCACCACAGCTGAAAAAAATCTGGCATTTGGTTCTAAAGCTGGGTGGTGGGGAAATGCCAGCTGACTCCACACAGGGCCACGCCGCCAGCCCGCAGGGAGCCATGGCTGCTCTGGGCTAAGGCAAAGAGGGGAATGCTTCTCGATGTGCCCTCAGGCTCGTGTCCTTCCCCCCCGGAGCCTTGCTTCGCTCCTTGGGGTCTCTGTGCTGGGCGTGCGTACTGCGAGGGGGTTTTAATTCGTGTGCAAGGCACAGGTTGTGGAGCCAAGGGCGCCACCAGCTCTGTTGGAAATTCAAACCAGATGCGCCACTGGTGACGAACCCGTGCTGCAAAGCTGGGAGCTGGTAGGGGGCTGACAGCGCCCGAGGGAAACATGGGAACAGAGCACCGCAGGCTCTGGCTGTGTCCTTTTAATTTATCAAACCGCGCTCTGTCGGGCTCTGGTAGGGGCAGGGGCAGCTCAGAGCGAGGGACAGAGAGCTGCACACGTTTGGGTTCGGTTATAAATTCCTCATCAGCCTTAGACACGGGTTCAAACGGGTGAACGTGAGCCAGACGATTGTGCAAACACACACACAAACCCTGCAGAATTTAAAAGCGAATGTGATTTCTAACAGTATTCCACTGCCCGGAGAGGAACTTTGGGGGAAACACTAAGAGAAGTATTTCAAGGGGAGAGCAGGAAGGATGTTTACTAAAGGGATATTAATTACAGCCCTTGAGGTTAAAGCCTTGTTGACAATAAGCTTATTTAATCAGCGTTTCGCAGCATTGGGTCATAAGCAACTTAACCCTGCGTGGAAATACACGCCCGGGCAGCTGCCCCAGGAACGTCCTAAGAAGAGAAAGAACTTTGGAAAAAGGTCCTTGTGTTTAAAAGAAACAAAACCACCCTCCAGCTCAGAGCCTAGGCCCTGTAAGAGCTTAGAGAGGAACAAATATTTCCTAGTTTCTTCACCTTTCCTCTCTCCCCCTCAAGGCTACAACCCTGAGAGCAGCGCTGCAGGCTATTGGAAAAATCAGTGACCAGCGAGGGCTGCGGATGTGATCTTAGTTGTTTAAACTCCTAAGCAGGCTTTGAAAAGGGGGAAAAAAAAAAAATTATAAAAAAAAAAAAGGTTCAACAACGGGATCTTAGAACTGGTCATGTCAGGTGACAGCGATCACGGTTGTACTCGGGTAGGGTGAGGGCCAGCATGTGCCGAACCTCTGTCGCTAAAGAGACTGAACATCCCCCTTGCTTCCCGAGGAGCCCCACCCCAATTTAATCCCCTAGTTAACATTCTAATGCGAGTTTTGATGCTTGAACCTCAGCTGCAGGCAACGGGGACAGCAGCGGCCCTTTGGGCCCACCTTGCGAGCAGAACAGCAGGCACTGGGTGGCTACGCAGAATTTAAGAACAAAGGCGTTCAGCTAGAAACAAGACAGCAAACAACTTGCCATCCCATCAGATTTAGCAGTCAATATAGCAGAGGCATTTACGCACCTGAATAAATGTAGCTGACGCCTGCTAGCCACTAAGAGGCGGCTGGATCCCACCCTTCTGTATTCTGCATTGTTTGTCCCAGAAAAACGGTGCCAGGGAAAAAGAATGAGGAAAATATTTTTTGCTGCCAACCACCACTAGGATATTATTCTCTTTAATCAAGTTTAGAGTAGCTCACAAATCTTCGCTTACAAAAAAACATTGCATAATGTTAAAGAACCTTTCTAACTTCAAAAACCTCTTACAAGACCCCTAACAGGGCATGGGGACAGCTGCACCGCACAGCCCAAATCCAGCAGATGATGTTTCATTAGCATGAGGAGGAAAAAAAATCCAGGCTGAGACTTATGCATCGTCTCCCTACCCACAGATGAAATGTGCCCTGGTCTGAATTAACACCTGGCTGAACCCCAGAAACCTGTGATGTCGTCAACACTTTCATGGTCCTTTTTATTAAAAGCAGATTTCCACAGAGAATGAGTGAAATAAAAAAACAAAAAACCAAAAAAACCAAAAAAACCCAAACACTGAAATGTAAATTAACAGTTCCCCAAACCCAGCGTGTTGCAGTATCCAAACCAAAATTAACAGGAAGAAGACGGACTGCGATAGTCATCAGTCCCAGCAATAGCCTCGAGCTCTTCCTGGGGAATAGCATCCCGCTTTATTTTATAATTAAAGCAATCCATTAAGTATTTAAATCACCACTTTTCTCATTTGACGAACCCACCAATGCTACTTCAAATTCACCAAGTGATGAGCTATGGCCACATACTCTCAGATTTGACTGCGCTATGTCCACTGGCAGAATCCAGCTGGGGCAACAGCCGTGAGGAAAATACAAAAGCTACAGTCCTCCGAAAGCGCGCTCAAGAAACCGCGCTAAGCTAACACGTGCCCAAAGCCCGAGAGGGTGGATCCCTCTAGAGGGGTCTCAGAGTGTATTCACCTGATGGACCTCTGTGCCGAAATACAAGAGGTTCCTCTGCCAGCATCTGAGTGGGGAAAGCATCTGTAAGGTGCCACGAAGAAAGGAGCCCGGTCTTGGGTTATGGACACCCGGTCTTGGGTCACACGGGAAATGAAGCTGAGTCTTCAGTCTTTAGCATCTCCCACTCCATCAGCATTAATAGCAAACATTGCTTCAGCCTCGGGAAGGCAAGGAGAGTCGTAAATTTTACATATTCTGGTCTCACCTCGGCCTTTTCGCAGATACAGCCTAATAGGGAGAAGGAAACAAAATAGGAAAGGGCGTACAAGCCCGCTTTCAGTAAATCATTGCCATGAAAACATTACGTTAGTACATGAACACAGCACGCTGCGGAGCTGTAAGAACACCTGAAAATGTTGCGTCGGTTTTACTGCAGATTAACGAGGCTCAGGGTAGCATTCAGCGTGGAGAAGCAGCTGGACTTGCCCTCGACAGGCTGGGTAGAAACCCAGAATGCAAAAGGTACTTTGCTAGTTTCATAAAACCTTCCAACGCAAGGCAGACGGAAGATGAAATCAGCTCTCTCACCTCGTGGTGGAAGCATGTGCTATGATATTTCCTCCAATGGGTTTTTTGGGGTCTGCGGCAAACATGGCTGCTCCATCCACTTGCGCTACCACTTGGTTAGTGATCACGACTGCCACGCCAAACTGTCAGCAGAAAAGCAACAAATGCATTTGATTTTCCACAATCTGAACAAAGGCGGAGGGGGGACCAAAACAAAACACATGCACGCCTGCTGCCCTCCCTGCTTTCCTGAACCACTCTATCACGGTGCTCGGAACAAAATGGAAGTAGACACTGGGTGGGCAGAAAGCCGTTTGTACAAAATAGCTAAGCTGTAAGAGAAGAGAAAACCGATCACCAGTCCTTCAGACAACAAAGCAAAGCTCATAGCTTACCTCATCTGCAAGTCGAAGAAGCATACGCAGGAACCTGGCCAGATGCATCTGCCTAGCTGACAGCTCACCCCTTCCCGAGTAATCTGTCCGGTACAGGGCTGTGGCACTGTCCACTATCAGCAACGCGTATCTGCAAAAGGTAAAGTACAAGGTTCTCATGAACATTTCCAGGCATGAGTAACGCCTCCACCGGTGTGTGATAGCACCCGGCAAACTGTACAGCTGCACAGGGGGTGCGGGTGTAAGCTCCCCTCAACCTGCTCATAACATTTCCAGGCATGAGTAATGCCTCCACCGGCGTGTGATAGCACCCAGCAAACTGTACGGCTGCATAGGGGTGCGGGTGTAAGCTCCCCTCAACCTGCTCATGAGCAGAATTACTGCTTTTAACAACACTGACTTGATCTGTAATGCTCAGGTTGCCAACTATACGATAAAACCCAGTAACCGCAAAGAAAGCTGCTGCATGATTAAAAACTCAGGTTTATTGTGCTCTTACAAACTAGCCCAGAATTTAATGTTTTGACACCACAAATATTCTGTGGACAGGTTCCTGTACACCTCATACCATCACCTCCCGCCCTCCAAAGCGGGCCGGTAGATCTTAGTTTCAAACTAAAGCTGTCTGCACGGGTTTCTTCGGGGCTTGGCGTGCTCCAATCAACCCTCTTTATTTCTGAAAGCAATTCTACTGATCTTTAAAATCATTTTTCAGGCTGGCACTTGTTTGTAAAGTCGTATCGGCTGTCGCAGTTCAAGTCACTCGCTGTCATCCGGGATTTCAGCAGCAAGAGGTACTGGCTCGCTGCTGACACACCAAGCTTATTACCTGGGTATGCCAAAGCATAGTCCAGCTTGAGAATAACAAAACCTGATCTAAAAGAGCTGAGCACTGGAGGAAGCAAGGATATTTCAAAAAAAAAGTTAATTTTTGAAGTAAACATTTACTTGGATGTTTTGCAATTTCTTAATCTGTGGTTCTCTTGCACTTGTTCATCACCTCCAGGCAGATTTATGGTATGTATATGTACTGGCACAAACATCGCTCCATCTGAATCGGTCGCCTTACCGTGATTCAGCCATCATAGCAGATGCCTGATACAGGAGCTGGGTCTGATGATCTGTGTTAAAACCTCGAGCGTATGCCACGTTATCTAGGACATCGCTGCCAGACAAGCCATACCTGGAGAAATCAGTGGGGAAAGGAAAAAAAAACCACACCAAACCTTCAAGTGACAACTTCATCAAGGGGAGTTATCTAGCGGGCTTACCTGAAGGCTAGAATAAAAATTCACGTTCCTGGGAGAGTCTTAGAGGTAAAAACAGACAGCAGAAACCGCAACACAACTTGATCATGAAAAGAGAACAGAATGGTGGGAAACCATTTTTAAAGACTAGTTCCCTGCTGAGAAACAATGGTAAAATAGAACAGCAGACATTTTCCCCAAAAGAAAGCCACAGGCAAGGAAAGCTACCATTCTGGGACGGAATATTCCAAAAGCCGTATGTTGCTAAACAAACCCCCGTGACAAACAGCCTTCCACCTGCGACACCTCTGCCAGTGTTTTACTACCAAAATAATAATAAATAAAAAGATAGTTACATTCAACATCTTGCACTTCAATTATTTATATGGCACCTTGAGCAATCCCTTAAAATTTGGAGAACCAGTTGATTATCCTCCTTGCATCTGAAATGCAGTCATGTTTTTTGCCATGAGAAAGAACCTATGTAATTTGTTCCCATTTTTCATTTCACACTACAGCACGTTTCTTAGCACGACGGACTCTTTGAAGGTGGAAGGGATGCCTGTGGACCAACCAGTCTGACTCCCCTCCCTGCTCCAAGCAGGATCTGCTGCAGGAGGTGGCTCAGGACTGCGCCCAGTCTCTCCACAACCTCTCTGGGCAACCTGTTTTAATGTTTGGCCACGCTGAACACCAAAACCTTTTCTTGCTGCCTTTGACATTCAACTCCACACTCAACTCCAGACAGCTTTGGCCTTCCTAACCCCATTTCTGCAGGCTCGGACAGTGCCTCTATATTCCCCCCAGGTCACCTCTCCCTGCTCCCACCTCCTGCATGCCTCTGTTTTATGTTTAACAGGAGCTCCTTCATCCATACAGGCCTTTGCTTGATTCCTGTTCAACAGGATGACCGCTCTTGAACTTGGAGGAGCTGATCCTTGACCATCAGCCAGCTCTCCTACCTCCCTCTTCACTCAAAGAGCATGTCCCAGGGCATTCTCCCAAGCGACCCCTGAAGAGGACAAAGTCCACTCTCCTGAAGCCCAGTACTGCGATCCTGCTTAATGCCTCGCACCTATCTCAGGATGCTGAACTCCTCCATCTCATGGTCGCTGCTTCTCTGTGAGCCTGAAACCACACGCAGTTGTCTAATTCTTCCCAGTTGTTCCCCATTCCGCATGCATGAGCATACAGGCACTTTGGAGAGGCATACCTAAAATGTCTGCGTGAAGCAAATTAAACGGAGCGCACGTATCGATGGTACCCTGAATGCCGAAGCACCCATCAACGGACACAAGCACACGGTCAGTTGACAAGGTGTCCTGGGAGAAGAGTGCAAAACTTTTCTGTTGTCACAGAATCCATTTTTTAGATTCTACCTGAAGAGCCAGGTCAGAGTGGGTTCTCCAGCAAAGGACCATGACACAGTTTGAAACTCTAATGACACCAGCACAGCTGAACTTGACTTTCATCACTGAAAGATTCAAGTCACACCAAAATACATCAAATTAAGAACATGAATTAAAGTATCTTTCTGATTTCTGTGTTCTGCTTTTCACAGCTGGACACCTCATGTCTCCCTCCCTCATTCCTGTAGAAATTAGACTTCTAGGCTAAGCATAGCTTTGAACAGTACACTTTTAGAATCGTAGTTACCAATTAATTTTGTTAACTGCACGTGATAGCTATTAATAAATCAAGTAATCCAACCTTACTAGGCTACTACTTATCTAGTTAGCGGTGTCCCTTCTCACTGCAGGGGGGTTGGACTAGATGACCTCTAGGGGTCCCTTCCAACCCAAAACATTCTATGATTCTATGATTCTACTGCACCTTAGGTTTGAAGGGGAAAACCAGCCAACCCCGACTGGCATTTTGAAGCAAGACCACGCTGAAATACCACGATTAAGGTCAAGGGTGCTCGTCAAACACTTGGCAAATCAGTAGCCTACAGCAAGAACGGAGCTGAAAGATGGTTGGCCTCCATCCTAGCTGAGCTGAAGAAAGAGACTGAGGATGATGCCTGGAAGAAGCACTCTCTGCCTACAGCCACGCACAGACACCCTCTTACGGATGAACCTATGACTGCTGCAAACATCATTTCACTTCCTCTTCAGCACCCAAGAGGTGTTTGTTGCCAAATAGCCACTGGCGACAGGGAACGTGGCAGTGCTCCTCTACGTGCTGCAGGGAAAGCCAGCAGGGTTAGACCGAATCGTCTTCAAAGGGAGTTAACAGGATTTAGTTGGCACTGTCCCCAGAGGACGAGGAAGTGCACATTCCCTTCCAGTAGCGAAAAAGTGAGGGAAACGGCTTCCTGCAGAGGGACAATTACACAATAGCTGCGGGGAGAGAGGAGAGGAGAGGAATAGTAATACCAGATGTTTCCAGAGCAAACATCTGTCAAATTAACCTCTAGGACCTGTGTAAAATGTCTTCCAAAGATTTTTTTTTTTTGCCTTTCAGTAACAGACCATCCAAATCCAGCACTGACACAAATCTTCAGCTCACTATTTTTCAACAACTTGACCTTCCTGCGTTCATTTAGGATGGCATGTTGATTAGATCATCTCCCTCTATAATGAAAAGGAAGCACCTCTTGTGGGCTAGCACGCCATACCAGTTTGGTATTAAATCCTATTTGATTTTTTTTCTACCTACAGTCATGGAAAGGCTCATAAATGCTGGCCTTACCTCATAAATCCATGGAGCTACTGAAAAGCAGCAGCCCTGCCCTTTCATCCTCTCTGCTTCCAGCTGCTCCTTCTTGTCCTCTCCGCTGTTCCAGCACCAGCAATTGATGCTGCCCTGCAGCAAACCACACGAGCAACTGCTCTGCGCCAGCCTACAGCCTAAGAGCCACCGATGCCAGCACCGCAGGGCAAAAGGAACGGCAGGACCGCCTGAAGCACACAGAATTGAGCCTTGTTAAACCAAATTAAAACTTAAGTTTCGGCCCCATACAGACTGTTAGCTATGCAGCAGGGTGTTATAAAGCAGCCACGCTGTGGCATCAGCCTGCAGCATAAGGCAGGCAGCTTTGCCTAACAGGTCACATGGGGTCTTGGCAAAAAAAAAAACTTCATGAAAAAAAATACATGCTGAGGCATGACGAAGGGTAAAAACAAAGGAACTTTAGAGCAAACATCTATAATGATAAGCCAGGCCTTGAAGTGTAGTTGAAGGCTGCTTGAAAGAAACACGGTCACTTGGCAAATAAACCTTGCTTCTGTAAATGCACAGTAGAAGAGAGGCTGGTTGCTTTTCAAGCTGGGAAATTTACACAAAAGTTTTTGAAAAGGTTTTTTAAAAAAAAAAACCAAAAAACCACACAGCCTGAAAAACTATGAACCTAAACCAGACTAGCAAAAGTGTAGTAGAAAGCAGGCCGATGGATTTTATCTTTGCAGACCACCTGAGCCACTGTATTCAAATCAGCCCAGCCTTGCAGCTCGGAAACAGCGTTTGTCATCCTGCGACCTCCAGAAGCAAGCGCTCAGCTTATCGACACAAAAATTCTCATCAGTATCTAGGTGGAAATATTTTTTAAAACTACAATACAACTTGAAATTGTTAACCTAAAGCTTAGGCCTAAATTCTAATCTGAATAATTGCATTCTGCACCCTTACAATTCCTCTCCTCCGTCCGTCAGGTACGACACGCTTCACATCCCCTCCCAAAGCGCCAGGCTACTTTTCTGTTCAAGCCAATGCAATTTCAGCAATTGATAAGCACCGCAAGATGAATAAATCAACCCAAGTTCACTGAAGTTGCATATATACCTTGATATTTAATTGAAACAACGACCACGGAGAACTAAGCCCCATAGAATCAGTTTTGAGAAAGCCTCAAGACTCACAAGACCAGAAGCAGCTCCTTTTCTAACGTACAGAACCAGTACTTCAGGCTTTTAAAGTCTAACCAGAATCTCTGTGCAGACAGCGGAAGTTTTATTTGGGTAATTAAGTTTTACGTTCCAATTGGTATAAAAAAAGATGTCAGAACATTCTGAGATAGAGGCAGGAGATGAAAAACAGCTTTTCAACTGGTCAGTGGCTGCTCTCACATTTCCTAACGAGAATTTTCCCTGCTGTTGCGATAACCTTTTTACAAAGGGATCTTTGTTTCAAGGCAATGCTACTGGCAGGATTTAAGAAAAAAATCTTTGAATGTATTTCGCTAACAGTAAAACTGAATTTGAAAGAGATGCGAGTAAGAAGTGAAGACACCATATTCCGGGGGCAATGACGTTAGCTGCTGTCATATCTAAAACAAGAAACTTTATGAACTACAGCTGATGAAGGGGTCTGACGTGCCTGCGGGTAGGCAGACGGCTAGAACACAGAAAGGTGCTTGCTTGGTTGGTGTTTCTAGGGACCATTCCTACTGCACAGCCCCATGAATTTAAGGAGACAGGCCAATATACACAGAGGTCCTCATTAACTAATGAAGTTGTCCCACGAGTAAATGTATTCCTTTCTTCAGCTACCATCCTCTAACCCCGGGTACAGACCTTTCAGCCACAGCAAGAAGACGTTCTGGGCGGAAGGTCCCTTCTGTGTCAATGTACATTGCTTTTCCTTCTCCACCACCTCGGTCAATGGGAAGCTAAAGGGAAAGCAAAGCAACAAACACGGAATAAAGTACCAACAAGTGATCCAGTTATTGCCTTACGCCCTCAGCTGATACCACACGATAAATCACACACCAAGCGACTGTGATTAAAGTCATATTTATCTGGGAAAAGCAAGAAGATGGATGGCTGTTTTCAATCTGATACCTACATAAGAGGACAGGTGCTTAACTTTGAGCTGGTAAGGTTAGGGGCGTAAGGGGCTTAACTAAGCGATCAGATTAAGCCCAAAGCCTCTAATATTTTATGAAACAGCAACCTCTAGAAAGTAATAAACATTGTTGGTTGTTTATAGCAAGATTAGAAAAAAAGGGTACTCCAAACTGATCTCCTGTTTGACAGCAAGAGCCAGCTGAAGGCTTTTAGAGAAGTAAAGCAAAGTAAGCTTAGGATATGTTAGGAAAAAAAGCAGCTAGTCAAAGGCACTGTCTGAACCCAACAGTTTCTTCTCTCTCTTCAATGCTCCTAGTGGTAAGAAAGGTTCTCTGCAGTCCAGAGCACCTCAAGAGAGAGCCAGGCTTACGCTACAAGGCTAAGGTGCTAAATCTTGCTGTCAGAATACTGATGAGAAAAAAAAAAAAGCAAAAGAGCTACAGAACACGTCAAACATGAACAAAAACCGTCACAAACTTAACTGCTGCTGAAGTAATCCTAGCAGGCAGATTAAGCACAAAACAAAAGCTCCTAGAAAGCTGCGCATACAACCAAGGGTGCTGCAAATGCTCGCGTTCTTTGCAGCTGTTTGTATGCATCACATTGTATTGGTTGAGAAAAGGGCCCAAGTCAGCAAATACCCAAAAGCAGTGTGGTCGGAATACTTGAATAAAGCGGACTACTCACTTGACAGGTTACTGCCAGGGTATGACACAACTGTGTTTTTCCAGTACGAAACTCCCCGAATAACTCTGTTATGGACCCTGTTTCTATTCCTCCTGAAGGGAAAATAAATAAATAAATACACACATACAAATAATAATAATTTTTAAAAGGCCACATATTCAAACAGACCATGTATAAAGTATTGCATTTACAGAGACTCAGATAAACACTTTGGTTAAAAGTTTCACCACTCTAATGGGAAAAACTGGTTTTCAAACTGAGGCTTGCTCATGTGGCAGATAAGAATTTAGGTAAGTGTATTTCTGAAGATGCTGTGCTGCCGTTCAGCGGGACCTGGACAGACTGGAGAGTTGGGCAGAGAGGAACATGATGAAGGTCAACAAGGGCAAGTGCCGAGTGCTGCCCCTGGGGAGGTCAAACCCCATGCACCAGTCCAGGCTGGGGGCTGACCTGCTGGGAAGCAGGGAGACCCCACCTGGAGCACTGGGTCCAGTTCTGGGCTCCCCGGTTCAAGAAAGATGAGGAACTCCTGGAGAGAGTCCAGAGGAGGGCAACTAGGATGATGGGGGGACTGGAGCATCTCCCCTACGAGGAAAGGCTGAGGGAGCTGGGCTTGTTCAGCCTGGAGAAGAGAAGACTGAGAGGGGACCTCATCAACACATACAAATATCTTAAGGGCAGAAGCCACGAGGATGGAAGCAGTCTGTTTGCAGTGGTGTCCAGCAACAGGACTAGGGGCAATGGGTGCAAGCTGAAACATAAGAGGTTTCAGTTGAATATGAGGAAAAACTTCTTTACTCTAAGGGTGATGGAGCCCTGGCCCAGGCTGCCCAGGGGGGCTGTGGAGTCTCCTTCTCTGGAGATATTTAAGCCCCGCCTGGATGAAGTCCTGTGTAGAATGCTCTAGGAGAACCTGCTTTAGCAGGGGGGTTGGACTAGATGATCTCCCGAGGTCCCTTCCAACCCTTGCCATTCTGGGATTCTGTGAAAAGCTGAGGCGACTTGTTTTGATTTCTGGATTACAAGTAGGAACGGGGAGAAGACAATACCTGGTTTTGTTTTCTTGAACAAGGTCATAGACTAGAATAACCTAGAAACATCCAAACCGAACAGCTCTGGGTACTGCATTGTGACTACAAGGTTTTAGAACTATTTCTACAGCTTTGAAAAGAAAATCTATTGTGATACAAGGGAGCAGAACTTTGGTGTTTAACCAGAACTTGTGCTTCTTCAGGGTTTTTGTCCAAGGATCATGTTTGTAGAAAAACAAAACAAAACAAAACAAACCGGTAACAAAGGCTAATCAATAGAGAGAAATAAAATTGTTACCTTGAAGAAGTTTATCAAGTTCTTTGGAGCCAGTGGTGATCTGGATGATCTCTGACCTTCGCTGGTGGAATTCCGTTGCTGTGGTGAAACCCATCGGAACGAGTTTAGCTGCTTCAGCCTAAAGACAACCAAACTAAGCAGTGCAAGGGGCACTCATCCCATTCATTTATCCCCTCTAGTAATTAACACTGCAGTTTCCTATTTTGTGAAATGGAAAAGCACCTACATAATCTGATGCATAAGTTTTATTTTATAGACCATATATTAGTTTGTACCTCTGACCAGAACTGAAATTCTGCTCAAAGAAAAAGCTTCAACATCCATTTTGTGCATTTTATGGAACTCTTCCCCCGCTCGTCCCCCCACCTTTTTAGTTCAGTTCTGTCCCTGTGAAACTTGAAATGCCTAGGATGGACACATGGCCTTTAGGAATGCTGTCTTCCCCGTAGCAAATAAATATGCAAAGTAAGACAAGTATTGGGGCGAAGCATTGTGCTAGGTCAGATTTTGGTAACTGAGAACTAGTTTGGCAGAAACTCTGCCTTCTGAACCAGAAGACGCTGTGAGATTACAGCTCAGGCTTCGCTCTCAGTCCCCAGGTCTCACGGCGAACACCTGAGGCACACAATTAACACACTTAAGAAAAACCTAACAGAAGAACTAGACTGACCCAGCACAGCTGTTGTTCACCACGCAGCATCCTCTGCCTTGACAACTGCCGGCAGTGGATGCTTGGGGAGAGCATAACAAGTCAGGGAACAGGGGACTGACCCTCTGTCTGCTGGCCCCTCTGGGGGCAGGTAGCGAGCTTCCTGATCTGAGCGCCACCCCACAAACATTGCACTTAGCCCCTTTTTAAGCCAATTTATGCTACAGATGGCCACTGTGTCTCAGGACAAGGAGTTCCATAACTTAATTACAACCTGTGTGAAAACGTACTTCCATTGCTTTAGGCTTACCACAAGCCTTCTTATCGCGAAGAACACTGAGCTAGAAATAATGGCCACCTCGGGCATATTCTCCCTACCTTCCACGATTTTTACAGACCTTTCTAATAGCCCCTTCCTCTTTGCATTTTAAACCCAGTCCTAGCGGTTTTTGTCTCTTCTCATCGGAAGTCACGTCACACCTCTAATCATCCTTGCTGCCCTTCTCCATATAGCATTAATGGAGACCTTCCAAAACCACCGCAACACTTTAAGCCAGTAGAAATAAACTTCCTCAGTATCTTGGGTTAAAGCTTTTCCATAACACCCTTACCAAGATTTTGTCAGCTTTGGCTTCGCTGATGCCTTTAATGTTTAGTAGCTCCTTCTTTGGTGCATAAGCAACAGCCTCAACTGTGTGAAATCCAGCTTCCTCTAGTTTCTTCACATCGTTTGCATTTATACCACATTGCTGCAAGGGAGAGGAGAAAAAAAGACACACTAAAGCACAAATACCTCAACCCAACTTCCAGTGAATACCTTCCATTGCCTTAATCAGATTTGGATCAAACTCTGTTTAGATTGAACGTTACCTCCCTATTCACTTACGCACAAAGAACCATAGAAAATAACATCCTTTTACCAGTTAAATGCTTCCATAAGCTACTAACCATATAGATGGCCCAGAAGAGGCAGAAGACAGCCTTCTGTTTGGTTTCATAGATGCTGGAGGCGACCAACACGCGTTAGGAAAGGGTATGCAGCAAGGCAACGTAACACCAGGCAGAACTGCTAACATGTTGGGGTTTGTGTTTCGGTTTGCTTTTTTTGGCAGAGCACAAGTAAGAATTTAGCAGCCCAATTTTCAGATACAACTCATGTTTAAGGAAAAAGACCACAGCAGATTTCTTGATAACTTTCTCTAGAGCTAACTCCTTGCCTACCTCTAACCTAGAGATGAGCTGCGGTCCAAAGCTCTCCTCCTCTGCCGACGTATCTGCATTTGCTTCGAACTGCATCTGCACAGCCATTGCCCCGCGTCGTCAGCACAGCCCTGCTGGGAGAGAACCAAGAAACTCTGCGACGGGGCACCCACCATTAACCCAAGGCACACAGGCAAAGCGTTGCAGAATGGACTAAGAGATCATCCAAAGCAGTACGTGATAGCTTTCATAGAATCACTTTGGTTGGAAAAGACCTTTAAGATCATCGAGTCCAACCTTTAACCCAACCCTGCCATCCCACCACTAAACCACGTCCCCTCCCGTACCTCTCAGCTTGTGGCACGCGAGCGCGGGGAGAAACCTCTTCTGTGTGCCTCCCTGCGTGATGTTAAACGTTGAAAACAGAAAAAAAAAACCCAAACCACTCTCGTGTTGGCTGGTAAGGATTAATAAAGGGGCCGAACCGTGAGCTCCACAGGAGCATAAGGCAGCAAAATTAATTTGCTATCAGCGGCGGCTCACTTTAGCAGCGAGTTGTGTGGCAACATTAGAAGCCGCCTGGCCCTTTGCTGTCGGAACCGCAGCACCGTTTGGGTTGGAAGGGGCCTTTAGGATCCCTGAGGCCAGCCGCTACCCTCACCCTGCCGTCCCGCCGTTAGG